AATTTATGAGCCGATTAATACAATGTGGCATATATATATATATATACACCTTGGCATACTACTCAGTTATGAAAAAGATGAATTAATACCTTTTGCAACAATCTGAACAGAACTGGAGACCATTTTCCTAAGTTAAGTATCTCAAGAATGGCAAAAAAAACACCATATATACTCGCTATTAAATTGGAACTAACAATGACCACACAGGTGCACAGATGGAAGTAAAACTCAGTGAAAATCCATCCGGAGGGAAGAGGGAATAGAGGAGACAGAAAAACCTACCTTGTGGGTACAGTGAATACTATTTGATGATGGGAACACCTAGAGCCAGGATTCAACAAGCATCATAGGAGCAATTAATTTTAACTAAAATATTTGTACCCACTTAATATTTTTATTTTTTTTAAAAAGGAGATAGACAAATGGATAAGAAGTATATGAAAAATGACCAACACAATTAATCCTCAGAGAAATGCAAATTAAAACTACAAGATGATTCCACCAAATCCCTGTTGCTGTGGTGGCCTGGGTCCCCACAATCATTGCTGGGATCTGCATTGAGTGCAGTCACTATGAGAAAACACTAAGACTTCGTAACTATCTCTGGTGAAATAACTAATGGGAGCTAGTGAGAGTCATATACTATAGCTAATAGCATCTAGTAAGTGCAGCCTCAGCCCATTATCCCAAAGGTCTCTTTATTCAATCCCAAACCATAAATCATGTTCACAACATAAAGCATAAAGTTAATTTTTTATTCAAAGCACAGCACCCTAAGTAATCATTAATAGTCAGAAGAAGGGAAACAAAAGATGGTAAATCATGCAAGCACATCATGTGTTTATAACATACACTTTACAGATTGAGGAGTAAACTTTAACTTGCCTAACTCATTTCAGTGATTCCCAACTATAACTGGGCAAGACTCAGACATTCTATTCTTTAGTTGCTAAGCATTCCATTCTCAGCCACAAGATATCAGTCAGGCCCTATGTGGCACCTGGAGGAGCAGGGTTCTGGACTCTGGTCAAATAAGACCTCCAGAATGCTAGCCCTGAGCTGCCTGGTGCCAGACATCCTGTGTGAACTATCAGTCTATTCCTAGCCTTGAATGGGATATGTCAGTACTTACGGGATTTGAAGAACCTGGACTCTGATTAATAAGCTCTCCAGAAATGCCTGGCCTGAACTACACTAGAAACTTAACTCCCACATGTCATGATGGCCAGTATTCAAAAGTAAAAAAAAAAAAGGTGATATATGCTGGCATGCATGCAGAGAACAGGATACTTAAACATAGTTAATGTGACTGCAAATAAGTATAAGCTCTATAGAAAGCAGTATGGAGATTTCCCAAATAAATAAATGTAAACACAAGTCATTTTATAAAAAGGCATATGCGCTCAAAATGTTTATTGTAGATGTGAAATCAACCTAAGTGCCCATCAGTTCTTTTGTGCATACAAAATATGGTATATTGAACATATACCATAGTTCACTATTCAGTCATAAAAATGAATGAAATACTCTTTTCCACCCACTTACATTGACCGGAGACTATTATTCTAAGTGAAGTATTTCAGAAATGGAAAACCCAAACCATATGTTCTCATTAATCATTCAAAACTGGGCAGCACCTGTGGCTCAAGGAGTAGGGCACCAGCTCCATATATCAGAGGTGGTGGGTTCAAACCTGGCCCCGGCCAAAAACTGCAAAAAGGAAAAAAATCATTCAAAACCAGGAATAAGGAAGGGTGGGAGACTGAAGAATAAACACTTGGCTTTGGAGTGCAGTGAATATTATTCTGGCTACAGCTACACCAAAAGGCCTGACTCAAGCATGATACCAAGTATCTAGGTAGCAAAAATATTTGTACCTCCTTAATAATTTGACTTTTTTAATGTTATAAATTAAAAGAAAAAAGGAAAATGTACACTGTGCAACAAAATAAAGTAGAAAGCTGCTGGGGTTAATATAGTATGGCAAAAATAATTATTGAAAATGTAATTTAATAATGATTGATTTTTCAAACTGTTAGTTATATTTTTTTAAAATATGTGTGCACCTAAGAATACTATTTCAACATAACTCAAAAGAAGTGAATGAATAAATAATCACCACGTAATAAACAATTCTGATTCACTGTTTATTGCACAGGTAAAATGGTGAGCTTATAGAAAGATTTAAACTACATAATTAACCATTACAAACATGCATGCTTACACAATAAATAATCACCATGTAATAAACAATTCTGACTCACTGTTTATTGCACAGGGAAAATGGTGAGCTCATAGAAAGATTTAAACTATATAATTAAGCATTAGAAACATGCATGCTCACACACACACACACACACTCTCACACATACACTACACTAATACAGAATACTTACATTTTTAAGTAACATAAAACTCAAAAGAAGTGAATGAATAAATAATTACCATGTTATAAACAATTCTGACTCACTGTTTATTGCACAGAAAGATTTAAACTAGATAATTAACCATTACAAACATGCATGCTCACACACACACACACACACTCATACACTACACTAATACATAATACTTAGTTTTTAAGTTCTCATTGAAAATTTCTAAGAATATTCTATAACCTTGTAATTCCAAGCGAGTTAATATGAAATACAGTTCTGTGCTCCCAATACAGTGCCAATAGTTCCTTGGCCAGTGGACAAGTATAATGTGGCCTTTCACTTTGAATAATAATTAATGAAAAATAAAGAACATTTAAAACCAGCTCCTCTATCACACCACCACATTAGAAGAAACATGTAGATCATTTTCAGCTTCACAATAAATACTCTAATTACAGTTTATTTAAATAGAAGTTTATAACCAAAAATTCAAAAATCTACATGATTTTTAATTGTCATATATTACTAAAGAGGCAAAAAAATTAAGACAATAGATAGTCACCAATTCTGTTATATGAATTGTGAGTAAAGTAGAGCAAAGTTCTTTCTTGTGAAAAATTGATTGCCTTAAAGACATATACTATAAAAACTAAGTTTAGAAATGGAATTATTTGAACATGCATCAAAAAAATATTTTTAAAGTTGAAATTAAATTAAGTAGAAGTGAAATAGATGAAAGAAAACAGCATATAGTATAAAAGCATAAGACACAATCAATACAGAGAGTCAACAAAGCCACTGATATTTTCATTGAAAATAATTAATAAAATTAACAAAAGATTTAAGAAAGTACCTGATGAGGCACAAGTATTTTATTTCTAGATTAATTGTGGGTATGTCTTTTGGATATTACAGATGAAAAACAAGGCATGATCCATCTCATAAATACAATTTAATATCCATTTGAAATAAAAATTTCTAAAATACACAAATGACCAAAGGATAGTAAAAAAAGATACCTGAATAGCACTATATGTAGTAAACAAATTGAGTTTGTTATATAAACATTCCCATAAATATATTCTACAAACTCAGATCACATCACTAATGAGTAATAACATTTCAACATAAAATACTCTTACCCAAAGGCTTCCAGGGTATCAAAAAAGAAATGCTTTCCAGCACAGTCTCAATAGTAAGAACTTTCAAGTGCATAGCAATGAATAAAAGGATACTTCAATCTCCCCATGAACATGGATGAAGAAATAAATCTTACTTCTAATAGAATATATGCACTGATCCTTTTAAAGGGATAATACAGAATGACCTGGATGAATTTATCTCAAAAACACAACACTGGTTTAATACTTAAAAGAAATAAAAGTAATATCCTTATATGCATTATACAGAGAAAACAAATATAATTTGAAATGCTGAAAAAATAGTAAAAATACAACATTGATTCAATGTGAAATACATTAGAAAATGGGAATATTATAAAATTACTGAAATAAAAGAAAGTTATGATAAAAAAATTTTAAATATGATTGAAATGTTGAAACTTCTCATCAAAAACAGGAAATAATACACATATAATTACATAGAACCATTATTAAACTTTTTCTTCATCACTGAAAATAATATTTATTTATTTATTTATTTTTCCTGTGAGACAGTCTCACTTTGTCACCCTGGACAGAGTGCTGTGGCTTTAAAGAATTTATGGCATCTGGGGAAAAAAGTGTGACTATTATAGATAAAATAGTAGTTTACATCAAAAATCCAGAAAACTCTATACTTGAATTGTGGGATTTAATACACAAAATCAATGAAGTAACTGGACATAACATTGACATGCAAACCTCGATTATATTCCTATTTATGGTCACAAAATAATTAAAGAAAATTTTAAAATAAGGATGCTATTTACAAAAGCATAAATGTGAAATAGCTGCATTTCTACATGACTTCAATACCCAAAATACAAAATATGACAGAGCGAAATTAAAGAAAACCTAATAGATTTCCAGACATAGCATGATATTGCTCGGAAAAGTCAACTTTATAAAGAGGCAGAATATTTAAATATGACAGTCCTAAACATCATCCCAGGAGAGTTATTTTCAAATATTTTTTATTGAGATGTCATGTAGATTGTAATAGATTTCATCCATTTAAGTGTACAAGTACATAAACTTTTAGTATATTTGCAGATTTACAACAAAAATCACCTCCAAAGGTTTACAAAATGTTTGTGACCCCAAAACGAAAAAAAAATGTAGTCATTTGTGGTCACATCTTATACCAATCTCCCCTTAGCTTTTGGCAACTACTATTCCACTTTCTCTATGGATTTGTCTATTCCTGATGTTTCATATAAACAGATGCACATAACATGCAACTTTAACAAGGTGACATGCCACAAACGCAATGCTCAGCAAGAGCCAGACACAAAAGAAATGATATCCTGTTCTGTGTTGTGTGTATTATACTGCAAATATTTTTTAGTCTTTTTACTTATAAACAAATAATAATTCGTTTTGACTTATTCAATCAAAATATTATTTCCATTTCACAAAATACAAAATTGCAGAGCCGAATCGAAACTCAGGTGCTTTACTTCTAAAGCTTGTGCTTACAAATGTACATTTTTGAAGATCCACATTCATCTGATTGAAGTCTACCTGAGGTTAGCACAGCACAGTTCCGTTTACCAGGTTCTATATCTGTTATGCTGCAATGGAGAAAAATATATATTTCTGTCATATTTTATGGGGAAATCCATGAAACAAGAGCATTTCCCATGTAATTTAAGAAAAGAATTTTATGAATACAATTAATGACATTTCATTGCAATGTTAGTAAGAGTTGCTATTATGAGAACTGAATACAGTAGTTCCCCATATCAATAAGGGATATGCATCAAGACCACCAGTAGATGCCTGAAACCACTTATTTTACTGAACTCTACCATATACTATGTTTATTATACATATACACACCTGTGATAATGTTTTATTTATGAATTAGGCACAAGAATGGATTAAAAACAATAACTAATACTACAAAAGAGTAAGTATAATGACATGCCAACATCACCTCTCTTTGCCTTTGGGTGATTATTAAGTAAAATAGGAAGTGCTTGAATGCAAGCACTGCAATACTATTACAATTGATCTGCTCACCAGAGAGCTACTATGTGATTGATAGGTGAGTCACCTCTAGAGTATAGATCTGCTGGTCAAACAGATGGTTCAAGTCCCAGGCAAGACAGAGAAGAACGATGTGTAATTTCAATCTCCTACTTACTCAGAACACTGAATTCATAAAGTGGTTTTTTTTCTTTCTGGAATTTTCATTTCAAAATATTCTGACCATAGTTGACAACACATATACCTCAAACTATAGAAAGCGACACTGTTGTTAAAGGGAGACTAATGTGGTCCATTCTTTAATATTTATGTCAACATTTCACTAACTTGCAACATCTTCCTTATGTCTGTAATTCAATTTAAACTTACTTATGTTAGTCTACTGTTTTTCTCCTGTTTATTATTTTCCTACCATATAGCACCAGTGAAGAAAACTTACTTAAGTTTGAAAGCTGACCCATTTATTGACACCCATGGATGACCACTGCTGTGACGAGAGACTCCAGTCCAGGAATGCCATAACAGCATGCTCAGAAATTTCTATAGGAATGCAAATATTTTATAATATGTATGATACAACAGTACATTTCAAAACTATTAAGAAAATGAAGTGTGCATGTGGGAAGGCTTAAGGGAGGAGTCATATCTTGATGTGCTTGCGTTGCTAGTAAGAATGATTTTATAAGTTGGAAACTAATACTCAATTATTAATGGTTAGTAGATTAGACATATTATAAGGAATAGGGAACAAAGTCTAGACAAAGGGAGACAGTGATGAGTGTTTCTATTCAGGCTGATTTTTCTGGGCTCTGAGCACAAAGTGCAAGGATTTGGTCCTTGAATCGGGCTCTAATTGGCTTCCTTGTCAAGATTTTGTTTACATTAAGACCATTAGACTTTGAAGCAGTAAAAAATAGTAAGTAATTCCATGCAATTAACATAATTGGCTGTAGAGTTGGTCTAGTTAGTAGGAATGCAACTACAAGGAAAGAACCTTGGCGGGATTGTTTGTCTTGCTTTCTTGAGATTTATGACTGTAACACTGATGTATGAAATAAATACAGAGCTAGCCTGACACTCGGGATGGCATCCTGGGAGCCTCACTAAGAAGTGTGTGCCGCCTCCTGAGCCCTGCTACTCTTAAAACTAACTCTTTGTCTATGTCTATTATTTCTCTATAACTCTTACTAATAATTTTCTTTTGTCTCCTCATACCACCAGGCCACAGGGAAGTAAACCCACTCTGTGTCATGGCTGGTCCACAACAAGAAAAGAGTATAACTGTCTTACCACAACAAAAAAGTAAATGAGGTGATAGATGTGTTAATCAGTTCAATGTAAGCATTTCAGAATGTATATCAAATCAGTACACTGAACCCCATAAATGCATCAATGTACACAGTTATGATTTAATTTTAAAAAAATTTTAAAAGGATTTTATGAAATTTTAAAAGTGCAAGTACTGTGTTCTTTCATTAGATCTACAATTGCCAAAACAATATTAGTATTTTAAGCAATATTAAAGTTGAAAAGCACTTTATATATTACTAAAAACTTTCACAAATGTGGGTAATTCTGTAATAAAATGAATTCTTAAACATTTTTATTTAATATGTTCATTATTATTCTTGCATGAATTTTGAAAAATATGACTGATGTAATTTAATAGGAAACCATGCTGGCAAAACAAATATAGCACGAATTTAAATAAATTTCCAGACACTATGTGTACGTTTCTCCTGATGCTAATACTAACTCAATGCACATTTCTACTATGTTTCTCAGAGTTTGGAGTCTTGAAGGGAATTGAAAGGGTTCCCATTAAGGAAATAAGAGTCTTGGAAGCCAAAAATACTGGTTGGTGCACAACACAGCATTCTTTAACTAGCTAAACCCCCACTGTTGTCTGTTCTGGTGTATATGGAACACCAGTGGCCCCCCAAAAGGTGCTACCCTCTACTCAACACAACTATGGACTCTGAAATTTATGAAAGACTCAAGCAGAGGAAGTAAGACTCAAGCAGAGGAAGACTCAAGCAAAAGGAGTAAGGAGAAGGTGGAATGGTTTGTGACTGCAGGATAAAGGATCAACACAGTGTTTGGGCATCTTACCCAACAGAAGAACATGACCTTGCCCTGCTGTTTTCCAGCACTCAACCCAGCAATGAAAGGTGCCTCAGTGAGCTCATGTCTTCTCTGTATTGAGATGGCGTCCTACCAGCACCAGCAATGCTGGCACCACCAGCAAGGGAGATCTAACAGCAGACCTCTTAATAGTAAGTAGCTAGAGGAAGAGCTTCTGCTCTGCTACCAAGAGACACCAGGGTAGGTGTGGCTGAGGGGACCAATGAATTAAGCCCATGACTACAAGTACCCCATCTAGGAAGCTCTGTATCCCTGAGGACATGAGATTCACATCCCCCTTCCAGACACACCGGATAGAATGGATTTTAAAATGTTATATGTGCATAATACTGTACTGAAAGTTACAAACTCCAGCTCACTGCATTAATATGGGTGAAGTGCATGAACATCGCACAGGGTAAAAGGAGACAGACGTGAAAGTGCACACTGTCACTTATGAAAATTAAAACACTGGTAAAGTTTGTAATATTAACATTCAGGACAGTGGTTTGAGAAGGAGGGAGAAGTGATGAGATCATTCATACGAGCAGGGCTACTGGGGCTAGAAACCCCTATTTTGTTATCTGCTGTGTATTATGGGAGTCTATTTGCCCATTCATGGTGTGTTTATATATAGTACAATTAAATAGAATAATTTAATTTGTAATAAAAGCATTTACAGAAGCATCTTTTTCCATGAGCAACAAAACCTGGTAATACTTAAATACATATTAGCTTATGAATAGAAATAAACAATGCATGGTGAAGTCACACAACAGAATAATGCATAGACATGTGAATAATTAATCTAAACTATGTACAAGAATATGATGAATTACACAAATATAATATTGACTAAAATAAACTTCTAAAATGTTTGAAACATTTAACATCTTACCATTTCTTCTTCACTATCTATGTAAAGCAGAGTGGAGTTCTTAGAAGCACAGGCCATCACACTCTTATTCCAAGTTTTTAATTCCTTATCAGTGTAATAACAATTGCTGGAATATGTGAACCACTCCTCTTGACAATGACCACAGTGATATGCTGAAGAAAAATTATGAATTATTTCTGGACATAATATGAATTCTTTAAATGAAAACTAATTTACATATTTTCACAGGTATAAAATATGACATTCATCTTTGCATCCTCATAGGCTGGTAAATATTTTACAGAAAAGCACCCATACATACATATGCACAGAAAAGTACCAGCCTCTCATCCCCTAACATCCCCTAATCATACTGTCATAAAAAGCAACACATCAAACAAAACTCATCCTTCAAATGTCTGAAAAATCACTGACAAAACTACATTTCTTGGAAAATCAAAATGATTTAACTGTTACCAAATGGTAGCAGTAGTAATTTGAATCAAATAGCAATAAGAGGGTGCAGTGATTTCACATGAGTATTTATACTTATTATTGAAGATAAGAGAATGACCCCCTATTACCTTTATCTCCGGATATTTATTGTTCATTATTTTATTACCCTTAAAAATATCTATGATCATTTTTGCACAGCCAAATATGAAAATAAAATATAAAATGACTAATAACAGCACCTTTCTGAGTTATGATAGTCTCCGAAGAATTGTTCTGTGTCTGCGGTATTGTAGCTGGAAAAATTTAAGTAATCCTTATTACAAATTAGTATCTAAGTAAGTCACAATAATCTTAATCTTTGAAATATGCTATATCACTTAAATTTATCTGCAGTAAAACTGATGTTAGCCAGAAAAAAATAAATAAAAATAAAAGTTAAAGAAGGTTTGACGAGAAAAATCTTTTCAGAGCCTACAAAACCAAATTACCACTTCTGTGCACTTTGTGTATTATAGTACTGCAATTATTTGATTTAACCACTTTCAAAAATTAATTTCTTTCTCAGTAAGCTTTTCAGACTTCTAAAATAAATCTGTGTTCTGAAATTTTAATATGTACATATAATTAAAAGCAAAAACATTCTACAATTATTCTTTTTTATTTATGCTTTTGAAAAATTCTGAATAAACATTTCTCATTTAGTCCAAAACATACTTTAAAATGAGAATTCCATGGTTTGATCTGATGAAGTGTTTCGAGGTACTTTCAACAATTCTTGCAAAACAAGAAAAGCGTACTTACAGGCAATGACAAGTCTGGTTACCACAGTGAACATTAAAACAAGAGAGAGGATTCCCAGGATCCCAGCAATGAGCTTCTCTGGAGGGAATGGTAAGCCTGCG